AAGATTGACTGTAACTAGGTGTTTTGAAATCCCACCAGATGCCTAAATACATACCTTTCAAAAAAAACTGGCCTTAAGGGCACAAAGTTGTACTGTAAATTTTACTAAATACAGATACTCAACCCCAAGATAGACTGACAAGGACAAGCATTCAAAAATCATTAGTTATTCACCCCAAAGTCATTACATGACAAACGTTGTGTTTTTTTAATTTGCTCTGTTAGTTTCTGAGCCTTTAGGGTATACTAGCTTCAGCCCTCCCAAAGAATCCTATACCTAAAATGCTTGTACATTCCTGTAACATTCAATTTGACCTTTCAGTATCATGTGATTTTCCCCCTCTCCAACCCCCTTTTGTAATTGAAAATGTATTCAAAATCCTTATTTCTGTAAGTCATCCCCCATCCTGCAAACACTGAAGAATACAGTTCATGCTCCAACGGGCCTGGATGGGGGCTGAGCTGAGCTCCCTGGGGTCCCTGATTCAGGGGAGTGTAACACAACCGTAAATAGGGAACGGGTGGAAAGTTGTTGAACAACAGCTTCTGAAAGTGTCATGCTGTTCCAGGGCACTTGGGAGACCTTGCTCTTCAGAGAGGCTATTGACGAGATCTGACACAGGTTAATGGCCTATTCTCCACTTTCAATCCTCTACCTGGGCCCTGGTCTGTCCAGCTCTGTCCCCTCCGTTTCCCCATCCTGAAAAAAATACCCTTAACCTTGCTTGTCTCTCCACCTACCCCACTGTCTCCCTCCACTCTCTGGCCTCACAGAGGACTGGCCATTGCCTTCCTCCTCTCTATTTACACTTGGACTCAGCCAATGTGGTCTCCACCAGAACTGCTCTCCCTGAAATCTCCAGAGACGTGTCCAAATCTCAGAGCCTGCAATTTGTCCTCATCCTCCTTGACTTCTCCACTACCCTTGATTGCTCTCTATGATTCTATCTACCCCTTGATTTTCACACCCTCTTTCCTGGTTTTCGTCTTACCTCTGTGACCAGTCCTTGTGTCTCTTTTGTCCACTCCTCTTCTAGGGGTTCCTCAGGGCTCTAAATAGCATCCATCCCATCTAGCTACCCAGTGAGATGTCTTGCATTTCTCACTGTAGCATGCAAGCCCATCCAAACAGCAATCTTTTCCTAATGAACAAAATAATTCTACACACCCAGTTAGAAACAGACCTACAAATCTAGTGCACGTACATAATATAACCTTAACTTTCACAGACGAGCTCTGAGCCACAGTCTTTACATTAAAGTAGCCATTGTTAGCATTGTGACTCTAGTTGTATCTGTTAGCATGCTGAGAAAGTGTGTGTGTAATCACCGTGCCCCAAGCCCTGCTCAGGAATTCGTTTTAGTTCTCCACCCAGAGAACGGCAGGGTGCCGTGGTAGTGATTGCTATATTAGTTACCTTATGCTTTTCCGTTACAATTCTACAGACTGTTTTTTGAGACCTCTAGTTCCTCCATGATATGCAGCAGGACTCCATAGTTCAGCAAGAGGGATGTACTGGGGTCAGGGAAATGCCTTTTGCTAGCCCCATGTCAATCTGTTCAGATCTGGCAATTAGGAGCAGTTGGAAATTGTCATTTCCCATCTGCAATTTGCTGACTGCAGCCTGCTGTCAATAACCCTGAACATTCAATGAGTACTGCACAAGCACCACCCCACCTGTGTCTCTTCCAGCCAGGACACGGACAAAATGGCTCCTCAGCCACTTAGCTAGCCGTGGGGGTCAGGGAAGATGCACCAGATGGGGGACTACGATTTCACAGCTGTCTTCTGACCGCATTGATAATTATTTATTCAGGAACTTTCCTACTGAGTGGTCTTGGCCTAGCGTAAACCTGAGGTCACATCCGTGGCTCGTATCCCTCACACCTGGCCACGCTGGGAACAGAACCCAGGTGTTTAATATGGGAGACTCAACCACTTAGCTGTGGCAGCTTCTTTCTGAAAGGCAGTGTGGCTACAGATTCAGCTATGCTGTCTTTACTCCTGTTTCAGTGTGCTACACACACCCATGACTGGGCCACAGAGCACAAGAGCCTACACCCACCGGCAGCTACAACGGTGGGAGAGATAGCTCAGTGGTTTGAGTATTAGCCTGATAAACCCAGGGTTGTGAGTTCAGTCCTTGAGGGGGCCACTTAGGGATCTGGGGCAAAATCAGTACTTGGTCCTGCTGGTGAAGGCAGGGGGCTGGACTTGATGATCTTTCAAGGTCCCTTCCAGTTCTAGGAGATGGGATATCTCCATTAATTAGAAAAAAATAAAACTAATCTTTCAACTCATGTGGGCAGGGTCTGTGCTGCCATACTGAAGGGGTTGGGTTTAATCAGGACCATGGTGGAGTGAGGGCATTAGAGTTTCTTTTAAAAGACCCTTGGAAATTATATACAAAAGACTCCTCTGTTCAGAATGTAGAGCAAAACCCAGCACTCAAAAGTCAGGAAATGCCAAATTTACAACTCTGCCCTATAGTGACTTCATGGCAGGAAAAAAACTAGTGTCTCTCTAAAAATCAGTTTAGTCTAAGACAGTGGTTCTCAAACTGGGGGTCAGGACCCCTCGGGGGGCTGCGAAATTACTACATGGGGGGGTCACAAGCTGTCACCCTCCACCCCAAACCCCTCTTTGCCTCCAGCATTTATAATGATGTTAAATATATAAAAAGTGTTTTTAATTTATAAGGGGAGGGGGTCACACTCAGAGGCTTGCTGTGTGAAAGGGGGCAAGAGTACAAAAGTTTGAGAACCACTGGTCTAAGCTGTCACCTCCGTCACTAAAAAGCTTAGTCACAATGAGAGTTATGGAAGGGCCTGACTTGGGGGCAGAGTCAAGGTTGTTTGGATGCCTCCATGGTGCTTTCCCAGAGCATTACAAGTTTGGATTTCTTTCAACTGCAGCCTCATGTCTGAATTTCCTGGGTGCGTGGCACTTGTGTTAGTAAGAATTACAGCCTCCTGGTAAGGTTTTGTTTTTGTTTTTTTGTTTTTTTAAACTCTCAAGTTACTAATACTCCCAGCCTTCACTCCATTTCAAGGAGGCTGTGGGTCTTGGAACTTCCTTGCTTTGTTAATTATTAAAAATTCCCCACAAGCCCTACCCAAGATGCCCCAACACATGCTCCCAAGGACATTGCCAAGGATTTGAAGATCTGCTCTATCAACACTAAACCTTTCTCCCAAATGTTCACTTGTCAGGTCAGGTGCAGCGGAGCCGGTGGGAGAGGCTGGCGTTGAATCTGCAGTTGTCTGATTGGCTTTCAGAAGGCTGCGTTAGCAAGTCAGCCTTTGCCATCTGGCCTGGGCACCCAGTTTGTTTCTTTAACTTATAATCAAGCCATTTCTGCTCGTGTGAAATCACTTACAACTAGGAGTGACATACACCAGGCATGTCTCAGCCCCTCCGGCCCTCCCGAGTTGGTCTCCTTAAGCACCCGGTGCCTAGAAGCAGACTCACGACCACCCAATCTGTGCACAAATGATACATTTATTGAAAGAGTATTTTTTAATACAAAAGAAAGCTCTGTACATAGTACTGTGATTACGTCCACATCCTTCCAGAAAGCCCTGGAAACGTTTTAAAAAAACAAAACAAAAAACCACAACCACCACACACACGGACGCACGCACGCACACACACAACCAAGCACACGCTCGCACACACACACAAACCCAAAACAATCAATAAAAGGAACTAAAAAGGTCACCACACAATAAATGCCATTTCATCCCTGATACACAAGTGTTCTGACAAGTCCGCACTTTAAATAAAATGCAGCATTAGCGTTTAACCTGCATTTCCTTTGGAGGGGAGGGGGAGCACTTCCTGACGCTGCACGGGGGCTTTAATCAACTCATTCCAGCTCTGGCCAGGGGGTCAGTTTCACAGCGTCAGCCCGAGAAAAGCAGGGGGGAAAGGCCAGACAACAGCTCCAGACCCCTCCCTGCCCTGAGCTGACTCCTGGTTAGCAACACGAGGGGGAAAGTGCTGCCCGGAAAAGTGGCTCTGTTCCACAGGGAGACCTGGGCATATCGTCCTGAGCCATGGCTGGGCTCTAACCCCCACCCCGCCTTACGCAGCCCCACAACGGGTCAGCTGCTGCTTGGAGCCGGGAGCTGCACAGACAGAGGAGCGGAGAGCCTGGCTCGGAGGAGACTCCGGGGAGCTCCCCAGGGCTGAGGAACGACATCCACGCTCCCAAGGGGACCTGCCCAGCTCCCCAGGGAACAGCACAAGGAGAGGGTTGGCGAGAGGCCGAACCCTCTCCTCAAAGCAGCAGAGGTGGGGAAAGCCATGTCTGTGTGCGTTACTGAGAAGGGTGTGAAGGGCAGAGAACGGCCCCGGGGGGACAGGAGAGCCAGCAGCCTGAAACGCCGGCATCTCGCCCGCCCAGGACCAGGCGCTGGCCTCTTGCCCAGCTCAGGGAGAATTAAGGCTTCGCAGGGACATTGGAAACTTCTCCCGGCGTGGTCTCAAAACACACTGCTGGAGGCACTTGTTTCCCAGACTGACAGCAGCTTTAGGGAGTGGGGTGCCAGGGGCAGATGCCCCATTAGGCCCTGTCCCCTTCTTGGCTCTGAGGGCGCCCTTCCAATTCCAGCCGACACCAGACAGGGCCCTGGAGCCTCGCGCCAGCCTCTCCCCCCTTCCCACCACACAGCAGGAGGGAGCAGAGGCCGGACTCCCTCCTCCATCCCGCAGGAGCCATCCCCTCCCTGCTCTCCGGGGGCCGGGTTGCCCGCCACGCAGGCCAACCCAGACTGGCCCAAGGGACGCAGGCACGCTCCGAACCGGCAGGAACGGCTGAGGTGCCCCAGTTCAATTCCTAGCACCTGTGGGCACGTTGGGGCGGGCAGCTTAAACGCTAATGCTGGAGGAACCATGTCCAAGGTTACAATACAAATTAAAAAGCAAGGCCCCTTCCTGTCCCTACCCCCCGCCCCCCACCGTGGTACAAACCCCATGAAAACTGTACAGGAGCCGGACTTTAATTCCTTTGAGAATTACATAAATACTGAGTTTAACACTTAGAAAAATAAAGTCTTTTTTTTTTTTTTCAAGGCTTCTCGTCTTTAATTTAAAAAAGTTACAGTAGCTGCTTCGTTCCCTAAGGAGTCAGCAGCCTCCTCTCTCCCCAAAGAGCCGCTCACTGCACCCTACGTTCTCCTCTCCCCAGCAGGACAGGACGCTCCTTCCGAGCGGAGCCGTCCACACGACCAAAGCGCCTCCCGAGGTCAGCACTGTCCCTCGGGGGTGCCCCAACGCCCCTCCCAGGTGCCTGAAGGAATCCGCGCCGCCCCCCTTTCGCCTCCTGGGCCAGGCTGTGCGGCAGCTCCGGGGCCCTGTCGTTTTTCCCTTGAACGTTTCAGTTGGTTCCTCCACCTCACGTTGAAATGGTGCTTTGGAAAGCACTAACCATGGCAGGAACTGTGCCCGGATGCAGACAGCGCCCCCGGCAGGAGCCAGGCAGCACTGCGATGCACAGAGAGCAAGCCTGCCGCCACATACCTGCGTCTTCCCAGCCCCGGCACCTGAACGAGAGCACAGGGTGGCCCCTGGAGCGTCCCATGGAGATGATTTATGTCCATGGGCTGCAGGGCTCTCTGAGAAGCGCAGGGACCTACGCCCAGGTTACCTTGCTCCCAGGCAGCTCGCTAGTGTCCAGGGGGCACAAAAGCAACTGCCTTGGCCAGGCGGAACAAGAGACATTTATCATGGGAAATGCAAACCACCATTTACTTCCAGCTCGGCTCCTCTCAGCATCAACCCCACGCAGCGCCCCCTGGCCCCGCTCCTCATGGACGGTGCTGGGACAGCGTCACAGCTCCCCAGGGACACCCGCCAGCCCAAGGAGGCATTGCACGGGGCCGGTGGGGCTGTAGGGACTGCGCCAGGAGCTCGCTTTGCTGTGTCCCAGCAGTGCCAGGGCTACAGGCGAGGGCAGCATCTCGCCCACGGTGCTGCACTATCGCTGCTGGGGGGCTGCTTTCTGCCACAGGGCCTGGCACCTGTGGTGCCACCTGGGCAGGAGCAGGTCCTGTCCAGCCCACCCTGCCAGCAGGAGAGCAGCTGGGGAGGAGCTGATGCCCTGGCAGGGGAGCAGACTCAGCCTGGGATGCCCCCGGGAGCAGCCTGCCGGCTGCAGGAGGGAGCCATGCTGAAGGCACGCTGCCTGGACCCGCTCTACCCCTCCCTGGCACATGGGCAGAGGGGTGAGAACTGGACCTGGGAAGAGAGCTCCTTCGGTGGGGGCTGTTCCTGTCGCTTTACTGGGCCTGTGCCCTGCTCGGGGCGAATACTCCTGGCAAACAGCAGCTGGAGCCGCCGGGCTGTTTACGGACCTGGCGGGGGAGCCCTGCCCTCGAGGGCTGAGTTTCTTTGGCTGCCGTGAGAAAAACCCAGGAAACGCAGCGTCCCAACGCAGCCCGGCCCTGGCTCAGCTCCACCCCGCGCCCCGTGTGTGCGTGCGTGTGTGTGAAGGAAACGTGAAAAGGCAACAATAAATAAGTGATGCAGTCCGTACGAGAGGGAATCGCTGCCGATCCCGGCGCCGGCGAGACGCTCCGCAGCCCACGGGCCAGGGACGGCACCCGGCTGGCAGCAGCTGCCGCAGTTCCCGGGCCGGGGCACCACAGGGCCTCTCAGTCACTCTTGGCGCCGTGGGACGTGTCCAAGTTCACCACCTGCAGCTCTGTCAAGTTGCTGCTGCTGCCGGACTGCTGGCCAATGACAGCCATCTGGAGAGAGAAGGGAGGAGAGAGCACCGGGGAGCATCATGCGGCCACCCCAGGGTGCAGCCAGGGCCCTGGGGTACAGGCCCACCCGGAGAGCCACCCATTGCACGGGGGGCCAATGCCAGGCCTCCCCATCCACAGAGCAATGCTTCAGGGCTCGGAGGGTGCGCTGTTAACAGCGGGGAGAAGGGGCAGCTCACCCACCCGTGCTGCCAACAAGCGGCCCAGGCTCTGGTCCTGTCCCATCTGTGGCCCAGCACCTAGACTGCTGCCGTCTCCCCTACAGGCTGGGGGCACCGCAGACCAGAGGCTGACTGTGTTCAGAGCACCTCCCTTCCCAGGGTCAGAGCTCACTGGGCACAGTACCTGGGACAACCCCCGTTACCAGTGACCCCTGGGGATCCCTGCGGCCAGGGGGAGGGGCAGCGGCCTGCACACATCCGCAGGGCTGGTGTGGGGGAGAGGCCGGATGGGTGGCGTGGGCGAGGTACCCACCAAACTGCTCTGTGCCTACCTGGTGAAGCTGGACGGCTGAGACCGGAATCTGAACAGTGCCCGATGGGGCTGTCAGGAACACCTGGGGGACCGCACCTGCCACACAGAGTCAGCACTTAGATCCTCCACCCTGGGACGCCGCCGCGGCAGGCCGGGCCCCAGGGAACGCCGCGGCGGGCCGGGCCGGGCCCCAGGGAACGCGCCCTGGGGAACGTCGCGGCGGAGCGGGCCGGGCCCCGGGGAACGCCGCAGCGGGCCATGTTAAACACCTGCCATCGAGGCTTTGAGAGGTGGTTCGGCCATGCGCACTGGCTGCGTCACCCCGCTCCGCACCAGACCAAGCGGCCACAATGCACAGCGCCGGCTCACCAGGGCTTACTGCTGCTCTCCATCGCCAAGGAAGCACAAAGGAGCCAGTGTCCATCCCAAGTCACCTGTGCTCCCCGAAACTGTCTTCCCCTCCTGTTTCTCACCTCCCCCCACGTACACCCCCAAATCCCCCATCCCTTCCTGTTCCCCATGTCAACTGCACACCCTCCCTAAATCCCCTTCCCACCCCCAAATGCACTCCCTAATCCCCCTTCCTTCTGCCCCCCACCCACACCCCCAAAATGCCTCTCCTGTCCCATTGCGCGTATCCCCCAAGTCTCCCTGCCCCCCATGTACTCCCCAAATCCCGCTCCCCCATGTTCCCACCCACACCTCCCGTCCCTGGCGAGCAGGTCTGGGGCAATGGGTCGGTTTTGATGTCATCTCTTAGGGCTGAGGGTCAGTTTTTGCTGGTGCTCCGCTTGCCTGAACGCTTCACCCAGCCCCACTCAACAGCTGCCCTCTTTCAAAATGGCTGCTCTCCCCCACCCTTCTCAATGGCCCTGGGGGTGACAGACGGCTCTTGGCACATCCAGCCCCCACTGCTGGGGAAGAGGGCGACCCCCCTGCTGCCAGCAGGCAGAGAGGATCATCCGGAGACGGATGGAGGCGGGGGCCGGACATGTGGGCGGGGGCTGGATGCACGTGGGGGGGGGGGGGGAGGGGGACCATGCACAAGGGAAGTCTGGCGCACCATCGGGAGCAGCCCTCTTACCCTGATCCTGGACCTGTCCGTGGGAGACCTGCATTGCCGAGGATGCCTGGGAGAAGGCATTGAGGACGGTCAGCCCCCCGTCTGTCAGGCCTGAGGTGGGCGCATACATCACGGCGTGAGGGCTGGGGTACATCATGTGGCCTCCCACTGTGGTTGGCACAGATGAAGTCATGATCGTCGCTGGCAGTGTCACTGGCAGGAAAACAGAGCAAGCGCTAGTCAGAGGAGCGGGAGGGGCTTCCCCAGGAAGAGCACGACCTGCAGCCCCCCTGCACTGCCCCTCCACAGCGCTCCTTAGGCAGGACAAGCACTGCACCCCCAGAGCCTCCGCTGGCCCACGTCCCCTGCCCTGCATCCCTGGAGTAGCCGGCCCATGAGGATTCATGCCCAGCTGTGATTTGCCTGCATTAGATTTCGGGGATTTCTAAGAGACCTCACAAGCTGCTCCTGCTGTCGCTCCGGAGCAGAGGGCAGGTTGGCTGGGTGCATCAGCCGGGCGTTCCCAGGCTGGGATTTCTTCTATGTGGGACCTTAGCTCGGCGTTTGCGGGTTTGGGGATCCTGGATTCCAGGGCCAGGAGGGTCCATTGGGATCACCTCGTCTGAGCCCCTGGAGAGCACAGGCCAGACACCGGCCCCCAATCATTCCCGGAGCAGAGCTTTTAGAAAAACAGCCAAACTTGATTGAGGAATTGCCCGTGATGGGGAATCCAGCACAACCCTGGGTGAGTCGTTCGCCTCATTTCCAGTGTGAATGTGTCTGGCTTCAACTTCCAGCCATTGGATCACGTTAGACCCTTGTCTGCTAGACTGAAGAGCCCATTATTAAATGTTTGTTCCCCGTGAAGACTCTTGTAGATTGTCCTCAAATCACCCCTTAACCTTCTCTTTAAGCTAAATAGATCGAGCTCCTTGAGTCTATCACTCTAGGGCAGGTTTTCTAACCCTTTCATCATCCTTGTGACTCTTTTCTAAGCCCTCTCCAATTGATCAACATCCTTCTTGAACTGTGGGCACCAGAACGGGACACAGGATCCCAGCAGTGGTCACACCAGTGCCAGACAGAGATAAAACAACCTCTTTGCTCCTACGCAGGATCCCCGTTGATGTATCCCAGGCTCCCGTTGACGATTTTGGCCAGACCGTCACACAGGGAACTCATGTTCAGCTGATTACCCACCACAACCCCCGCATCTTTTTCAAGAGTCGCAGCTTCCCAGGATAGAGGCCCCTATCCTGTAAGCGTGGCTACATTCTTTGTTCCCAGAGATATGCATTTACAATTAGCCGTATTAAAACACAGTTTGCTTGCGCCCAGCTTACCAAACAATCCAGATCACTCTGAGTCAGAGACCTCTCTCTTCATTATTTACCCGTCCCCCAAGTTGTGTGTTATCTGCAGACTATCGGGGATGATTTTATGTTTTCTTCCAGGTCATGGATAAAAATGTTAAATAGCCTAGGGCCAAGAACCAATCCCTGTGGGGCCCACTGGAAACGCACCCGCTCGATGAGTCCCTGTTTACAGGTATTTTTGTGACCTATCAGTTGGCCAGTTTTTAAATCCATATCATGTGGGCCATGTTAATTTTATATCATTCTAGTTTTGTAATCAAAATGCCATGTGATACCAGGTCAAGCCCCTGACAGAAGTCAATGTATATTATGACAACATGACTACATTTATCAAACTTGAAATCTCATTTAAAAAAAAAAAAAAGGTATCAAGTTAGTTTGACAGGATCCACCTTCCATAACACACGCTGATTTGCATTAATTACATTACCCTCCTTTAGTTCTTTATTAATCAAGTCCCGTATCAGAGGCTCCATTATAGGGTGACCAGACAGCAAATGTGAAAAATCTGGATGGGGGGGGGGGGGGGTGTAAATAGGAGCCTATATAAGAAAAAGACCCAAAAAATCGGGACTGTCCCTATAAAAATCCCGACTTCATTATCTTGCTTGGGATCGATGGCAGGCTGGCAGGCCTATAATTATCTGGGTCATCCCATTCACCTATTTAAAACTGGCACAATGTTAGCTTTCTTCCAGTCTTCTGGAAATTTCCCAGGGCTCCAAGACTTATTGGAAATCAACATTAATGGTCCAGCAAGCTTCTCTGCCAGCTCTTTTAAAACTCTTGAATGCAAGTTATCTGGACCTGGTGATTTCAAAATGTTTTGACTTTAGTAGTTTCTATTTAATACCTCCAGAGATACTAGTGAAATGGAAAGTATGTTATCCCTATATGATGAGACTATATCATCTGTTTATTCCCCAAATACTGAACAGCAATATTTATTGAGAACTTCTGGCTTTTCTGTGTTATTTTTTGATAATTGTACCATTTCCATTGTCAGGATTCTTTTTGTTCCTAATATATTTTAAAAACTCCTCCTTATTGTCCTTATATCTGCTACAGATTTCTCCGTGTCCCTTTGCTTCCCTTACCCATTTTCTACAATTCCTAATTTATAGACATTTCTATCAACTTCCCCTTTCTTCCATTTCTTTTTCATATAAATAAAATTTAGTGATGTTGCACTCCATTTGTTTTATGGAAATATGCTTATGACTGTAAATATGATACAACTGGAATATGATTTATGCAAAAGGTCTCTTTGTAAGTTATCATTACAAAGGTTATAACCTACTGAATATATTCATCCTATTTGTATGCATGTATCATTCTTGTATCTGAAGCTAGAAAGATGAAGTACAACTGTGAGGTCCTATTGTAATTATGCAAAATGTGGACCATTAATGGGGGTTTAGAATCTCGATGGCTCCCAGTGACTAGGACAATTGGTTGTAAATGGTTTATTTACCTGCAAGCCTTCATATGTGTGGGTCAACCCAGGAAGCATGGAGACTAGGGGTCTTACAGTGACATGTGACCATGTCACATGATACTGGAATCCATCTTAATCCTTGTACTTTTCCACTGATGAGGCGAGGGTGGGAACAAACAGTCAAAAGATCCCCACCTTGTGCCAAAACCATTAAAGGGAGTGGAGCAGGACAAAAGGAGCTGCCAATCATGAGAAAGCCCCTGCTTACCACGTGAGATGTCTGCTGGAACGAACAAGGACTGTACCAGGGAAAGGATTGGGCACAGACTAGGAAGGTGTCTAGTCTGTGAAAGAAGTTTGTTGGAACATTTCTGAGGGTGAGATATTACCTGTAATCAGTTTCTTAATGTATAAGGCTTAGACATGTGTGTTTTTATTTTAGTTTGCTTGGTGACTTACTTTGTTCCATCTGTTATTACTTAAAACCACTTAAATTCTACTTTTTATACTTAATACAATCACTTTTGTTTATTAATAAACCCAAAGTAAGTGATTACTACCTGGGGGAGCAAACAGCTGTGCATCTCGATCAGTGTTATAGACGGCGAACAATTTACCCTGTATAAGCTTTATACAGAGTAAAGCGGATTTATTTGGGGTTTGGATCCCATTGGAAACTGGATGTCTGGGTGCTGGAGAGGTAACCTGCGGAGCTGTTTTTAAAGTCTGCAGCTTTGGGGGTGTGGCCCAAACCCTGGGTCTGTGTTGCAGCAGGCTGGCGTGTCTGGCTCAACAAGACAGAGTTCTGGAGTCCCAAGCTGGCAGGGAAAACGGGCTCAGAGGTAATTCCAGCACATCAGGTGACTGTCCCAAGGGGATCTCTCTGACCGAACCTGTCACAATATACTTTTTAACAGCTGCCTTCATTTCCATCCAAGTCAGATCAGTTTTTCCAACCAGTCCAGCCCTCTTCTCCGATTGGGGGAAAAATGGTTACTCGCCTTCTCGTAACTGTTGTTCTTCGAGATGTGTTGTTCATGTCCATTCCAATCAGATGTGTGCGTGCACAACAGCCGGAAGATTTTTCCCCTAGCAGCATCCGTTGGGTGGGTCTGGGCACCCCCTGTTGTCGTGCCTTCATGGCCCTCCCGACCTGCCACCCCTTCAGTTCCCTCTTGCTGGCTACGCCGACAGAGGAGTAGAAGGGTGGGTATTGGAATGGACGTGAACACCGCAGCTCGAAGAACAGTTACGAGAAGATGAGTAACCGCTTTTTCTTCAAGTCCTTGTTCATGTCAATTCCAACCAGGTGACTCCCGAGCCTAAATTCAGGAGGCGGGTCGGAGTCATCCACTGACTGGACCACTGCTTGTCCGAAGGCCGCATTGTCTCTGGCCTGCTGGGTAATCGCGTAGCGTGTGGTGAAAGTGTGTAAGGAGGACCACATCGCTGCTCTGCAGCTTTCCTGGGTGGGAACCTGCGCCAGGAATGTTGCTGAGTAGATCCGAGCCCTGGTGGAGTGCGCAGTGATCGGAGGGGCGGGCCCCCCTGCCAGGCTGTAGCACTCCCAAATGCAGGATATGATCCACGACGAGATATGTTGCGATGACACAGGCAGACCTTTCATTCTGTCCGCCACCTCCACGAATAACTGGACGGACTTTCGGAATGATTTCGTTCTGTCGCTGTAGAAGGCTAGTGCCCTCGGGACATCCAGCGAGTGAAGCCTCTGCTCCCTGCCACCCGAGTGCGGCTTAGGGTAGAATACAGGCAGGAAGACGTCCTGGTTGATGTGAAACTGGGAGACAACCTTTGGGAGAAAAGCCGGGGGAGGCCTGAGCTGGACTTTGTCCTTATGGAACATAGTGTAGGGGGACTCATGTTAGGGCCCTGAGCTCAAACGCCTCCTGGCTGAGGTTATCGCTACCAGAAACACCACCTTGTATGAGAGAGAGAGAGAGAGAGAGAGA